TTAAGGAGCCACCCAATACCCTGAGCCCGTGTTTTAAATTAGTGTCAGGCTGCCCGATTGTTCTGAGTGGCCTGATGGGCCGTGGGCCCCCGAGATCAGAGCCGGCTGAGAGGTGAAGTAATTTAACCCATTATTCTGAGCCGATCCCGCTGCTTTGCTAAGATGTGTGAGTTGCCTTTTCTTCGGGATAAATGAAGTTGTCTGCCCCCACAAAGCAATCTTCTTCTGAAAATGTTTCTCATCCTTCCATTTTCTGCATTATTCATGGAATGTCCCTTCCCAGGGCTGTGCAAACTAACTTTTTTTTTTTTTTCCCCCTCTTTATTCCCCCACCGCTCTTTTTCCAACAGCCCCTCCCTGCAAAAACAAAAACATCAACACGGATTTGATGTTCTCTAACCAGAGTAAAGCTTCGCTGAGTAAGGGGGGAAAAAAGTGTGGAAAAGAAAGAGATGAGAAAGAGAAGAAGAAAGAAAACAGAAAGAGAAAAGAAAGAAAGAGAGAAAGAAAAAGAACAGAGAGAAGGAAAGAAAGAGAGAGAGAGAAAGAAAGAAAGAAAGAAAGAAAGAAAGAAAGAAAGAAAGAAAGAAAGAAAGAAAGAAAGAAAGAAAGAAAGAAAGAAAGAAAGAAAGAAAGAAAGAAAGAAAGAAAGAAAGAAAGAAAGATGGAGAAAAAGAAAAGAAAGAAAGAGAAAGAAAGGAAGAAAGGAGGGAGAGGGGAAGGGGAAAGGAAGAGAAGAAAAGGATATTATCTGTGTTGTTTCATTTATATAATTTTCTCTAGAAGTTCTCTTTCTAAAGCACTGGCTGCCCCTTTTCAGGACAGAAACAGGTGGGGAGCTGTTACAGTAACAACCCACATTCAAGTTTTAGTGGTCTGGGAGGAAGGAGAACACAAACATCTCCCTGTGAATCGTGCTTGGCAATGCTTCTGTTTCTTTATAATTACAAGGGGGAAAACATACTCTAAATGTCTAACCTATGGACACGTTCAAAAGTCGAATTATTCTTATGGTGATGGACACTTCACTGGCCAAAACATGAAAAAAAAAAATGATATTAAAAGATGCACAGCTGAGGTCAGTGGTTAAACCAAAAGGAGCATCACTTATGACCCTGCTCTTATTATTTTATTTTTTATTTTGGCTAAGAGCAATTTTTTTTTTTCTCCTGGATGTTTTGCCCTTGAAATGAAAACACTTCTATTAGAGCATTTACCTTCCAAAAAATAAAAATCCACGGGTGGCTCTGTCTAAACAATCTCTCCCTTCAATATAAAGACTTTCTGACTTAAAAAAAAAAACCACCAATCAACCTGACAGGACACATCAGCTGCAGTAAACCAGAAAGATCTTGTTGCATCTCTGCTGTTATTGAGCATAATCATGACCACATCAGCTCTTAAAAGCCACAACTCATGGGCATCTCTTGCTTTTCCCAAAACCACCACCTATTTTAAAAGGAATCCTCATGGAAACACGCAGGATTCAAAGGTCACGGTTTTCTCTGAAAATGAAATTTATATCGCGATATAATTTGATATTTAAAATTCAAACATGCAGCGTTTTGTCCAAGTAATGACCGGTTTTCCTCCTTACACACACAGGAGTATTTTTTTGTGCGTTTGCAACCCCAGCAAAACCAGCGGGAGGGAAAGGTTCGAGGTTAAAAACCGAAATTTGCTGTAAAAATGGGAGTGGAAACACAAAGCCACCAGCGAGGAGATGGGGAGGGGTTGCAGTGAGAGTCAAATAACCCAAAGATGGATCCATCATTTGGCAACTCACCGCAATCTCCTGCTGTGCAGAGCCCACTCAGGCCGTTTTAAAGCCTGCAATGAAACACTGAAAACTTTAAAAAAATAATAAAAAAAAAAAAATTCAAATTATATGGTTCAATTCATAAACCTTCTAAAATCCCGTGCCTTGGGCTTATTAAACCTTGATGCAGCTTTTTAATATCTGTAAATACCTGCTTACTACCACATATCACCGTTTCCTACTAAGAGGGTTTTTATGTTGGTTTTTTTTTTCCCTTCCCAGGAATGATCCATAACAAACGCAGAGCACTAAGTGGAGGGATTCTAGAGCAAATAATTGCATGGTTTGCCTTCCATAAACTGATTTGATGGGAGTAAGACAAACCCCTGGAAAAGTTCAGATGTTTGTGGTCGAACGTTTCAAGATTTATCCAAAGGCAAAGATAAGCTCGGCTCCCCTCGTGGGCCCAGAAAATGGGTGGAATAAACTCCAGGCCTTGGAAATAAAATAAAAATATGTCTTTCACCGTTTGTTTTCTGAGAGGATTTTCCTCTCCGTTTTGTGTCTTTGGACTCTGAAGGGGAAAAAAAAATATTTGGGGAATTCGAAACCTAATTTGTTATCCATGGGAAAAAAAGAGGCAAGGAATTGGCTGCCTCGAGCAGAACAAGTCAGTTCATCTCTGGTCTGAGGCCAACTGGAATTAGATGGAGGAGGGGGTGGGGGGGTCCTAATCATCACTATTTACAATATTTGCCGTTACACGGGAGGGCAAATCAAAACCCCGAAGCCACAAATCAAGAGGCGGGACCCCCCAAAAAAATGAAGATGTGGATTTTCAGAAACCCTCTTCCTGATCGTCTGCAGGCAGAGCTGAGCGAGGTCCTGCCCAAAAACCATCCTCACAGTGTTGTTTTTTTAAAATGCACCACCGGGTTCACCACACCAGCCAGCGAAGCTCTGATTTTTAGGAAACTCTGATTTCTCTCTGCTGGAGTTAAATTCGAGATCAACCAGAAGATAAAGGTGGCTGTAACGGGTCTCCAAATATTTCCTGCATAAATATTTTGAAATGGTCTTTTTTTTTTTTAATTTATTTATTTAGTTTAAACATATATATATTTTAAACAAATTGCACTTTAACTGGAAATTAGATGTGTGGACTAGTTAATTGTCAAATTGTTTAATAAAAAGGCCTTTTTTGTGTGCCCACTCTGAAAGATTTTCTCCAATCACCATCACTCTGCTCTCAGCTTGCACTGGCTGGAGCTCTGTAAGGGCACTTGTTGAAAATACAGTGTGGGATTATAACTTGCAGCATTTACTTCCCCTGACCAATCCCATTCTTGCTGATGTCAGTGGCAGAATTCCCGGCGATTTCCAGAGAAGCAGGAACAAGAACTCATTTAGGAGCCCTGGGAAGCCTGCAGGAATATCCCAGTGTTAATGTATTAATATCCTGGGGAGTAGGTTGTTGATGTTAATATTAATGTTAGTGCCACTTAGAGCAAAATTATCCCCTCAAAAATAGAATGTTGAGGCACAGGGAGAGCAGATTGGATGATAAATCGGTGTGAGGAAAGAGGAGAGGGAGGAAATCCCTGCCTTGTTTTTTTTTTTTATTTATAAATAAAAATTGTGTGTGTTGAGAGTCTAAAACGTGCCATTAAATTTCACACCCCTTGATCCTTTCGAGGATGCAGCTGATTCATTTGTAAGTACCAAACTTCAAAAGGACACAGCTCGCTTGTTTAGAGGTGTCTCCTAAAGTGAAAAGTTGGGGATTTTGCTTATTAAAGTCCTTCCAAAGGCAACGTCACCAAATGCCTCCGGTTTTCCTCGGCCCTTCTTGCGCTGAGGGCTTACAGATATTTCCCTGCACGTGGAATTCGGGCAGTGCAGATGGCCAGGAGGGATAAATGGGACTAAAGCTCCCAGTCCCCTCTCCTGGCGTGTGGCAAAGTCTCCTTAGTGTCCCACTGATCCCATGGATCTTTAATTTCACTGGACGACCCAGACCCA